TTTCTTATAACTCATAATTATCATGTATGAAAATAATATAACTCAAATATGTATATAAAGGCTCCAATTTTGTCTAGGAATTGGCAGGCTTGAACTTATATTTTTATCGAATAAATAACTTGACCTTTGAAAAACAAATCACTATTGCCTCTTTCGCCTGACCTCATACATCTCAGAACTGTACTAATTTGTATGCCTCTAGGAACTTTAGCATACCACATTGGCCCTGTCCATCTAAAGTACCTTTCTGCTACTAGTTCTCCGTCTTTATCTTTCTCCTGACGTAGAAATGATATATGACAATATGTTAAAAAATTACAAAAATTCTTAAAATTCTAAAAATCCCCAAGCTTTAATTAAATCCTAATTGGACAAGAATAACATATGTTGCATTTATCTAATTTTTTTGCATCTCTTATACTATATTACAATGTTTTATTGAAAAGGTTATAATCTTAATATTTGCTAGATTAATATATAAACATATTATTTATAAGAAACAATATATAACAAGTTATAGTATTAAATACAATATTAATTTTATTTAATTACTTTTATTTGAAGTTAACTAGTATCTTGTGATCTGGACTTGAGAACACCAATTTTATTATTAATTTACTGTTATTATTTATATTATTTACTTTATTAAAAGTATTTATTTTTTAAATATTATTTTTATATTGGTAAATATAAATAGAAACTATATTATAATTGGTTTATTATTATTTAAATACTTTTAAACTATATTTTGTCTTTTAAATTCAATCATAACTTGTTTATTTCTAATATAATATTTTGAATTTAATTATTAATGCTTATTTAATATCAAAATAATATTAATTTTTGTCTATAATTATGTGATAATTATGTATATGACCTTTTAATTTAACAAGATATCAAATTCTTTGTTAATTAATCAATCAACAAATATAATGTTATGCTTTTTAAAGCAAACTTACTATTTTGTTATATATAATGGAATATATAAAGGTAATATTTAATTTAAGTATTTGCATTGAAATAGGAATAATAAAAAATATTGTCAACTAATGTGTTTTCTTCTAATTTCCAATGCGGTATCTATATTTGATTGAAATAAATCAATGTTATTGAGATGATTTGTAAAGTTAATAATTTGATTTTTTTTAATTGTATTTCCTAGTAATTTACAAAAGGATTTGTGATATACAGTACAGTATGATTAAATTCGAAATTGGTTTTGCAATCTTGATTATGTGTTTCAATGTTCTTTAAAGTTGGATCGAAAGAAAGTTGGTTATATAGAAGTTGATTGATCTGTGCTATATTCTTATTTTAAGGTATTTAAATTTGATTGAATAGAAAAAGAAATATATTATACATTTTAGATGGTATTTACTTATTCAACATCGAATCCATTGAATAAATAAGAGTGTTCGCAATGATGTGGCAATGATGTGGCAGGTGACGGTAAGTACAAAATTTTTCGAATTTTATCAATGTCATGGGTTCATTCTTTGCTTTTTTTAGAAAAAAATTTTTTTTTCGCTTGAACTGCATATGAATACGAGACATTGATTGTAAATATACAGTAATATCGATTGAATGCACGTCTTTTCCCATACATGGAATTTTGAAATCAAACGCGTGACGAGTCAATTACCAAAGAATCCCCCAACCAACTCGTTAATTATGTGCAGGGTGGATGAATTAGCTAGAAAAAGCCAAATAATGGTAATAAATGAATATCCAAGATAAATCACGATTGATTTTGTACCAAAGGTTTCTTGAAATTAACATATATGGTCTAAATATTTTTCACAAAGTCAGGGATCAATTCATTGAATTAAAATCCCACTTCATTTATAACTATTTGCATCACATGTGCGAGATTAATTGCATCGAAAGGAAATAAAATTTTCCTCATGTAATGGTATGTCACGTTGCATGTCACGTGAAATAACGCCATATTTCTGGAAGAAAATTTCAACAGAAAAGTTGATCAATCTTTATTTTTTTTGAGAAATCATTTCGTTCTTTTATTATTAATGCTCCAATCAGAAAAAAAAGGAATTGCGTGATTCTCTCTGCGCAGCAGTCGGAATCAATCTTAAAGATAGTAGAACAAATATGTGTAAATGTAAAAACTAAATACTGTAACAGAGTTAGGGAATTTTTATGTACATCTATTTACAAGAGTACAGTCCACCAATCAGCCTTCTCTTGACGACACCGTGATGTTCAAACGTTATGTTATTAGAAGAAAAATGTTCCCTACACTAGCGTGAGTTGGAGGGAATGGAAAAAAAAAAATGAAAGAATAAAAATTTCTAGTGATGGAATTGATGGTAGAAATTTAGGGTGGGTTACATTGAACAGCGAACGATTCTGTTTCTCCTCGAGGAGAAAATCTTACTTTTCTTCTCGCAGATTATTGCGCGTGCATTAACAATTACAGATTGAGAGTGATATTAAATTAATAAATCATAATTATCTGAGGTGTTGTTTTCAATTAATTCTGTTTGTTGAAAGGAATGTGAATGAATTAATTATCTTTCGCTTCTCTTCCGTTTCCTCTCTCGATTCAAAGAATTTATCGCGTCCGAAATGTTTTTACACAATTGTTTTTCATGCGGACTTGCGGTACTCCAAACTTTTTCGCACACAAAACGAATGACATTTCTATCGGTCACATTTAGCCTGACGGCTTCTCGTCTCACATGAATTTTACAGATGGATCGCGCGTTCATCAAATTGCAATCCCGTCGGCAAAGGTCCCAGATTGTGTCGAGGTTATTCAACATTTGAGGAAAAATGTTATTCATATTGATGTTATCGAGAAACCAAACGTGCGGAAGGTCCCGGGGTGCATTCATGTGTTAATTCGTAATTGCTTGGGGAATTCTTATTCTTAAATGGTTTTTTTGTTATTCCCAGGAGCAGTCGGGAGAAGGAATGTATGAAAAGGAATTTTGTAGATAGCTCTGTGGAGGATTTTTATAACATTTCCAGCCATACAGGGATGAAAAACAGCAAAACTAGGAAATGCTTAGACGTAACACCATTGCATTATCGAGTTGATGCGCGAGATAATGTATCAATGGTTGTTAATAAAAAACAAAACATTAATTATACATTAATGTTTTTCCCACAGAGTTTGGGTATAGGAGTTTCCATGCATATATGACCTTCTAGATATTTTCATGCGGAGAAAGTTGTGCGTCTAGAATTGTACTATTTCTCGATAGCATCGCTCTCGCTAGATGGGTGATGAAAGGGAAACATGAAATCAACAGAGTAATAATAAGAATGCAGTGAAAGTTGTAGATGACAGGCTAGACCTTTTCGGAATCAGTTGGAGGCGTTCTATTTTGACTTCTTGGAAGACGAATTTTAAGGCCGTGACAAATTGTTAAATGGGAAAGAAAAAATGGCGGTCGTATTTATGATTTTTTTTTTCCTTTTTAATTTAGTGCATTTAGTTCCAAATGCCATCTCGATTTCAAGTTAAATGCACAAGTCAAAGGGCACGCATGAAATAATTTTCAACACACAGACCCAAGAGAACCAGTTTTTTTATGTAATTGCGTCGTTGATACCATTGCATCAATTAATTAACGAGCACAAGACTAAAAAGGAAGGGACGAGTTATGGTTATGATTATGAAATCCTAGTATGGAATGTAGGAACACATTTACAAACTTGGGTTTCATGAAAGAAGATTCTGGGAATTTTTTATCTAGCATAATTTGTGCGTGCGATTGATTTTTTTTACTTTGATGTTATTCAATATTTGCCCTTTCCTCAATGTGCTTTAATGTGCTTTGAAACAAACAATAAGATGATCATTTAATTTTATCGATAAGAATACAACTGGTGTTGCACGTCACGCGTGTTAAAATCCAAAGAAATATTCGAGATATTCGAAACATTCGATGTGATGATAACAAAGTTTTCATTTCAGAAAATGCATGAGAAAGAGAGAGCACAGATTAGGCCATAAACGGAATTTTGTAGTTCGGAGGTTCCTCGTTGCAACCCCGAGAGAATGTAGATCAACATGAGTTCAGTGTAAAACCGAAATTCTCCAAGATTCTTGAATTTCGGAAGCACAATTCCAATTTTTTGTTTATAATGAATTTTCGATTCCAGGAATGTAATTAGTTAGGCTAACAAACACAAAAAATAAACAAATTTACTGAGACAAAGAAAAAAAAAGGCATATCTTTGTATCGACATTACACCATGCAAATCATTCTTTGATGGAAGCCAAAAGAAATTTTCGGTCTAGCCCGTAAAAATTTTCTTATCCTGCGCAAACATTTTAAGTCCAATAAGCTTACTCTTGATAACGATGTCGATCATGAATAACGTTCATTCAACCGAGGACATCGAGTACGCATTAAAAAAAAGAATCATCTTTTGCTTGAATTAATTTATCCAACCAATCTCACCGTTACTGCATATTGTCTCACGTGCATACGTCTCACTGCATATTGTCTCACGTGCATATGGAACACGGCGTTACGTCATAACATCGGGTGTGGTATGAATGCGAAAACCAAAAACCTTATACTCTCTCGCCACGTTTTTTTTTTTTGGTGGTGACCAATCACCTGTCGTAACTCACACTCTATACCCGATATATACGAATATATGAATATCAGCCAATTTTCATTCCTTTTTTTTTTTTTTTACGATAATCAAGAATGTGTTCGATCTTGATTGGCGAGGTCAGATCATATGATCATGTACGCCTGGTCGAAGGAAAAAAAAAAAAAGTTTTCCAGGCGCGTGGCTTTGTTTCTTAATTCGTATAACCTTTTATGTATGTACGCGCATACATCTGTACAGTATAACGAAAGGAAATAAAATTTTTTTACAATCATCGTGTAATCTCCATTTTTTAACATCTATGATGCAATCGATGAGTGGCAGCGAATGGTCATTTGAAGAATTTCGCAATCCTGGTTTAAGGTTTTGAGGCGTCGGGAAAGTGTTTCATATTCTTTTGTACTTGATGCGTGTACGTAATGTCAACAAGTGCAAATTAAGGAACTAATAAAGTATAATTGCAATTGCCTCGATCATGATCTCAGTTACACGATACGCGTCATTTCATGAAAAACGTCCTTTCCCGGGCACTTTTGGTAAACAATGTCACGACGTGAAAGAAAAAGGTCTTGTGTGCAAAAGAAAATGGGATCTTAACATTTTCGGGTGCTGCACGCCGCGATGCGAATTCAATTATTGCATAATTTGTCGTTTTCCGATTGTCTCAAAAACCACGGGAACCTTTATTTCCAATCAGTCTGCTAAGTATTAGCATGAGTTTTTATTGGTTATGCAGGTCAAGGAGGACATTTCATGCCTCACAACAGACAACTTTTTGTAACCATGTTTCTACAGATATTTAACCGGTTCCTGAGGTCATATTCTTAACCATCTCCCTTTTGATTGAAGGTCTGCTGCCTCGAAACATTTTATTTATTTGTTTTTTTTTGTTTTGTTAAAAACCGGAAGATACGGAGCGGACGATGTCACGCGAGGTGATTTCTTCGGCGGATGAGGTTGCAAACAATCCTTTGGTGATTCAAGGAGTGACCGTTAATCCCGACTTAACACCCGAAAGGTTTCTGGAAAAGGTCAAAGGACATTTGCCTCGCCGTGGTATGCTGGGCAAGGATATCTTCGATATCGTTGTTCAAGAAGAGGCAACGAACGAAAACGATCCCAGGGTCTTAAGAGTCGCCTCCACAAAGCTGTGGTTAAAAACGGATGCTCAGTTGAAAGAGGATTATAAGACGTGTGCAATATTAGTGAACAGAAAAATTCACGAGCACCGAGTAAAGATTTTTCGTCAAAATTAGATTCTTTGCAATTAGCCTTGAACGATTAATATCTTTCTTCTCAAGCGTATCTGTATTCGTTAGAGGAAACATTTTTTTTTTTTAAAGCATGTACATAAGAATACCGTTCCAATTAAAACGCCATTTTTTTTTTTCTGTTCTCTCCTACCTTGACGCTTATTGGTTAAAAAAAAACACTTGTCGCAGTATACAGTATATCCGATCCCATGATTAAGAATTCAAAGTTCATTATGTCTGTTAATTGTCATTCTGTCATTATGCGTTGATCGCAGTCAAGTAAAATTCGAGCCACTGTATGGGATCTTAACAATCACCGTGAGAGGTAATGCTCGCTTCCTGTATTCCTTTCTCGTTATATGCTTTGGGCGCATAAACATTCTCAGACAAACAAAACCACCTTGTTGTTATACGTATTATTCTACGGTAAAAAGGTCTTTCCTTTACGGCTTCGTTTTTAAGGGAGTTCAATAGGTTAGAGGATTGACAATTTCGTGTGCCCGAACATAAGAATGCACAACTTAGCTGTAGGAGTTACATGTGAACATAGGATTCCATTGCACTTAATATCGAATGATCATATTCATTTAAAAAAGTTGATCAAGTGAATGCGCGAATGTACCAAGACAATCGATGTCAGATGTCATATCGTCTTATTGTACAAATGAGTTTTAATCCATATTAAAAAATAATAGTACATGTTTTTATGAGAATTGGTCATATCACACACACCAAGAGGTTTACACCAAATATTAAGCACGATACTTAAAGAGTTCATATGTAACACCGAATCATCATTCTATACTTTGGGGTTATCATCCTTTTCTTTGAAGCTTTTATTACGCCCAACCCTTCTTACCGTGTGCATACGATTGAGTATAATAGAAAAGATGAAGTGCATACAATACTATGGTCAAAAACAGGGACCCTTTTTCAATGCGGAAAAATTGCCTGTGGTGCACGGTTGTTTTAATCATGTGTGCGGGGAAAGCACCCCTGTTTATGGGAATAGAAAATGTTTGAATTCGTAATTTTCCGAGCAAGGTTAAATCATAACAACCATATTTGTATATGTTATTACAATATATGAACACCGCATAACGGGGGGTATGTGGTTTAACGTAATTGTAATTCAGAGATATCAATGAGAAAGCTATTTTTCCTAGCTGAAAAAAAAAGAAAAAAGAAAACATAAAATGGTATATTGGCTTTTATTGTGGTCGTTCAAAATTCGTGTTGTTTCACACGTATGAAACACACCCGGTCTTCTCAAGGAATCCCCGTAGACGTATAAACAAGATACAGTGTACGTTGCCTTTATGCGCGTACAAACTTTTTTAAACTTTATCACAAGCTCAAAGATTTCTCTTTCATCATTACCTTATCTTTTCCATGTTAATTTGTACACAAAGTCGCCAATTCACAAATGGTAAAGGTCATGTGTATGGATTTCCCCTACTTCTGTTTCCAAAACTTGCTCTTTCTGTCCCTACATGAAACCCACAAAATCACTCGATATGTATTCGCCACTTTTCCTCAAGATAATAAATGGGTTACGCATAAATTAAAAAAATATATTCAATGACACCCAACTCACAAATAAGTAGCCTTGTGTTCCATTGATAGATATTGCCCTCCGGGGAATATTGTAACCCATTCCGGATTCTTAATAATTTTAATTTATATCGTAAGAAATATGAGTCGAAAATTACATAAATGATTTTTGTATGAAAAAAAAAGAAAAAAAAAAAAAGACGTGATGTGTGATAACAGATGAAATCGAGTGACAGCATGGTATTATTCTGATGGGAGAAGAAGATACTCCGAAAGTATTATAAGTAAGTCTTGGCGACTAATGATGGGTGATTTTCGGCACAAGCACAGGGAATATATTTTATTATCACCAGATGTGCCATTTACTTCTGAATTTAAGTCCGAGTATTTTATTTTCAAATATAATCCCATTTTTTTTTAATGCAGTGATATATTGTGGGATTATCGTTCATTCCATATCACAACAATAGTTTAAATTATTACAACGGGGGTTTGTATGCCTGTGCCACCACGAGGTCAGAAACGTTGTTAATGAAAATTTTTTAACAAACAACTTTTTTTTTTACTAATACTTTCGTAGAAATGGATCGACCTAACCTAAACCTAAATTTGATTTCAATTTTTCAATTTCTCAATTATCATCTAGTGAATTTTTAGAACTCTAAATCTCATAAAGGTCTCATTCTCTATTTGTACTTACTTGCACATGGTGTATCTCACGTGAAAAAATGGATCGCGCGGAGATGGACCACTCAGACGTGGGAATATTTTACGGATTGATATCAACATATATGTTTAAATTATTTCTCACTGTGCACATGTGAGCCATAGTGAGTGATTCAATAAAATATTGCGGCCGAGGTGAGTTTCGCGCGGTATGTTAAGTTCTTGTATGTAGATACTAAATCACATCACGCTTACTCATGATGATTGTATATGTTCATGCATAAGAAATATGCATACCACTTTGTGTTATTCAATCTATCTTCGGTATCGTGAAGACACGTTGCTTGCCTGGTTACCTCAAACCTTGCGCACAATCAACATCGTTCCGAAAATAAAAATAGATATATTGCAAGTCTTCACTACCGACTTAATTAAGCCAAACACGAGTTAGAACGAATATAAAGTGACTTTTTTTTTTTTTTCGTCGATTTGATCAAGGGCCTGCCTTGAGTGCGCGTAATATAAATATAAATATAAAATATACAAACAGTGCATACTTCTATACAACATATATGCTGTATATAAATAGGGTGCGCCTTGGTGAGGTCAAATATTGGTAACCCCGAATGCGATCACCTCAACCTTTACCACAACCAACCACCGCCCTAAATACCCGTTACTAACATCAATGTCATCAGATCCAGTGGAAATTTTTGTGTCGACGCTGTTTGGTGGGCACCACTCTCTGTGAATGTATGCAAATGTACACGTACTGTATTATGCATGAGTATGCTATCATGAAATTTCTGTCTTGTGATAGAACAAATTAGACATCGTGACAACTTCCGACAAACTCGAACGAACAATGTTTGAGCAAAAAAAAAAAACCCCCCGGTCGAAAAAAGAATTCTTTCTCTTGGTGCTGATGTCACCTGAATGGTTAAATAATGTATTATCGGAAAAATGGAATCATCTACTTGAAATCTTGACCAGAATAATATTTACAAACAAGGGAATTTTTAATAAACTGCGTGCGCATTGTATCCTGAGTAATAAAAATATATACATACATTGTGTACAGCCAACGCGGGAAAAATATCATCGTTTTCAAGATTTGACAATTGTAATAAAACAAACATAAATAAAAACATGCGTTTGTTTATTTATTTATACCGTCCGTATATCATCAGTTCATTATTAATTATTTAATTAATTATTTATTTATTTGCCGTATGTTTCATCTCAATTCATAGTTATCAATCGATTAACTCATTGGTCGTAGATTGCAAGAAACATCGAATGCATAATTTCAGCGATCCGTTCGACCGGAATTTGGTTAGTCCTCTTTTTATCTTATCTTCCATTATCTTGGATTCTTAAAAAATCAAATTTAACAGATTAAAAATGTCCTTTGTCCAGCTAGGAACATGATTAATAATTACAGTGTGTACAAACCATAATTCTGTGATGAGCGCACGTACAGTATATACAGTATATACTGGTCTTAAGGCAGGTTCTCCAAAGGTGACTGGCGCAGGCGACCGATCATTTTCATTCTCGAGTATCGTGGTGAGTAAACCGCCATCATCCCTCGATTCTGTAAATGAAATCATCAAGTTTGACGAGAAAAGAAATCCTGATTTTAGGCATCAACCGATTGTTGAAGAAAGCAGATCGCCGACAGCGACGAGTTTAATGCAAGTTCTGCGCCAATTTCCTTTCTCGATGATTACAGGTGACTTTCTTTTTTTTTTTTTTTTTTTTTTTTTTTTTTTTTTTTTTTTACTTGGTATATAAGCTCAACACCCTACTACTGCAGCTATACATCAACTTAACTATTGTTAGAAATTCGGCTGCCACAATTAAAACATTGCTTAATTGTTTGGTTCGAATCTGATTAATTGGGCAAACTGCACAATCGATAAACAAACGAATAGGAAAGTTTATAAGCACATGGAATGTTGAGTCACCGTGCGAAAAAACTCTTGAATTTACAGCGCGCGTGTGATAAACTTGCAAAAAAAGGTAATGGGGAAAAATTCG